GCTGCTCTGGTGCATGCTCGCATCCTGGAGCTGCCTCAGCACAGGCCCAATGTGATGAGGTTGCGCAGTGCTGGGCTGCAGCCGTCTGCACTGAGACAGGATTAATGTTTTTCTCTTCATGAGCTGGCGATCTTTGGGATTTTGTTATAATGACAAAAGCTAACTGGCCTCGTGAAAACATTTGAAGTAAGTGCCTGTAAAGTCACCTCTGGTCATGAAATTCTTCAGAGTGTGATCAGAACTTGAGCACGGAGACACTCGTGTCACATCCTTTGTTTCCCACTTGGTCACAGATGTTGATTTGTTGGAGTGATTCGCCATGGTTTACTGTGCCAAGGCAAGGCTCACAGTCACCGCTGCCTGCAAAGATGCAGCCTTTTAAATAAGTGGAGAAATGTGGTGTTTTCTGTTTTACCCCTCAGACCACAATTAACTAAATCCACAACCATTTGCTCAGATTGTTCAACCAAAACAGCATGAGACGAGGCAGCGTCTTGGGTGTACAAATACTACTTCTGGATACTTCACTTCTGCCTTAATCAACAAGACAAGAAATCGTTTCTCAGAAATTGCACTTTTCAGTCTAGTTCCTTGCCATGTGGCTGGGCTTTGGCACTCCTTCCTTGGTTACCACCATAACGTGTCTGCTTGGTATAGTTTGTACCTAGCATTTGTGTAGTTAACAACAAACTGTCTGGTCCGTTTGTTTAATAGGTGTTAGAACTGGGCATGTAAGCTGAGATGGTGGCATGTTACAAGCCAAGCCCTCTAGTTCAAGGCAGCCCGAGCTTCACGGTAGGGCTAGAGAGCACCCCAGCGGTTCAGAGCCTGTGCTACTCTTGCAGAGGACCTGAGTTGAATTCCTAGCACCCACATGAAATGGCTCAAAATCACCTGTAAATGCAGATCCAGGGGACTCAATGTCATGGGTAAGATTTTGTTATACTCATTGCCCATCACCAGAAAAAAAAAAAAAAACTAAACATAAGAACATAAATCCCAAAGCCCTGCATGTTTTACCACAGTAGGCTACTTCAGAAATAAACTGCTTTGGGGACAAACCCCAGACACCCCATCGCTCTGGGCCTTTAAACCAGTTACTTCTCTGTTGTTTTGTTTTAAGACAGGGTCTCACTATATAGCCTTAGCTGACATGGAACTCCCAGCCTCCCAGGTACTGGAATGGCAAGTGTCCATAAGCTAGGATCATTGGCAACTATAACATGAGACATTTATTGTGTTAAGTGGTTGCACCATGCAAAATATCAGGTTCATGGTCACCCACTAGCTTTCATCAAGACAGTCTTCATTTCTGTATTTAATTTAGTTTTTTCCCTTTGAGACAGGTCTTACTCTATAGCCAGTGTGGCCTCAGACTTGAAGCAGTGCTCCTGCCGTGATCGCCTTCAGTGATGGAATTACAGGCATGCACACTGACTTGCTCATGTGTGCCACTATAGCCAGCTTCTTTGCATTGTCAGCAAACAACACCATGCATCCTTAGGGGTGTGGCCCGCACAGCACTGCAGCGTGATGATCCAGTTATGGGCTGTTAGCCAGCCAAACTGGCTTTGCCTTAGTGTCCTGTCGAAAAAGTATGTACATGTGTGGACATGGCAGTACTACTTCTTAGCCTGAAGCAGGGTCAGATCAGATAATATATGATCAACATTTAGCATAGTTCTGAGATTCAAGCAAAAGCTAAATGAGGGCTGAAGATCTAGCTTCGTTGGACTCTATCCCCAGAACATCAGAAATAGGTTTGGCGACCTATACATAGTCCCAGCAGTAGACAGGTAGAGGCAGGGGAAGAAGGACTTCAAGGTCATCTGCTGCCACATAGAAAGTGTGAAGCCAGCCTGGGGTTTACAAGGCCCATCCCCAAACAAAGCCAGTGTAAATAAATAATGATTCATATTATTACTTAATCCTGTTGGTGTGGTCATTTAGCTCTTGGGCTAAAAGTCTTTGAAAGAACATAGAGAAGCAGTGTTTGTACTGTGGCTTTGAAGTGCTCCTTCCCTGTCGGCCTGGAAAGTGACTGCAGCAGTTGTGACTTGCTTACTGATGAGCCAGGAGCTGATAGTAACGCAGGCAATGTGTGATGTATCCCACAGCACGCTGAAATAAAATGCTATTGCCTTAGAAGCAGCTAGAAATACTGATGCTAATTTTTCCTGCACTCAGGAAAAGCAAGATCGCTGCTACTGCAGTGGGCTGGAGAGAGCTCTCCAGAAACATGATGTCATCCTGATCTGCACTGCCAAGGGATGAGCTCATCCGGGCGGGGTCTCCGGGGCTGCAGCTGTGCCAGCTCCTGCCTTGTGTGATGTTCATCCTACAGGATTGCTCACCCTCTCTGCCCTGGGCCCACCCCTTGCATGCCAAACAAGAGGCTGGGGATGAATTATTTAAGACCTGAGGTGAACTCCTGCAAGAGATAACCAGTCTTCAGAAGACACACACACACACAAGGCGAGCTGTGTGGTCGTAGATTGTTTAAAGGAAAGTAAGAAAACAGTTGTAGGGTATTCTCGTCAATGAGAGGACACTTCTGTTGGCTCTCTGCTTCTGCTCTGTCTGGGAGCAGTGTGTCCCCTCTTCTACTTAAACAGTAGCCGAGTCTGAGCCAACAGATCTGACCCTGAGTCACTCTGCGTGGCAGAGACCATTGCCAAGTGGTTCCCCACACTTTTTATGTTATACATTGGGGGATCTTGGTTTATATTGTACTTGGTAGTGTAGGTTACCATGGGAGCCGGCGTACTATCTGTGACAATGAAACTCTGTCATTCTGCAGACTTTGCTTTCTCCCTATATAAATTGTGGTATTTGCAGCCAAGCCTAGGTCAGAAAGTGGTTGTAAGCATTAAATGAATGTTGCATGCAGGCATTGAGCATAGTGCAGGGAGGGATCATTAATCAATTACCTGTATTCTCAGCTGCCGCAGTAGGGATAAAAGAAGAAAGTAAAGGTATCATATGGTCTAGTTTTGAGAAAATTATTTACACTCAAGAAGGCCTGTTTTATTTTAGATTTCGTGGAAAGTTTAAACATACACTGAAGTAGGCTCACCGACTAAACCCCACACTGATTATCCCTGAAACAGTTATCAACCTCTGGCAGCCTGTTTCATCTGCTTCCTTTGTTTGAGTGCAGTATTTTAAGAGCAGATCGCAGACATTATATCATTGTTCCCATAATACATGAGTATGTTCTGCCAAAGGAAAGCAACTTGTCTAAGCTCAGCCACTGTTATAATAACCCCCACGCTGAAATGGGTCCATTCAATCCTCAAACTTCCTCAGTTCTTCCAAAGTATCTTTCTATAATTTTTTACTACTCAATGCCTGAACTTTTATAAAAGCGATTTGCAAGCACATATATCATTTGAATTCTTTTTTTTTTCAGAGCTGAATGTCAAACTGATTAAAAATGTCTTTATGCTGGGTGGTGGTGGTGGTGGCACACACACACACACACACACACACACACACACACACACACGGCCGAGTCAGATATGAATTTCACATAAGCAGTGAGTTTGCCCTAGATACAGCATGTGGAGCATTGTCTTGCACTACCATCATGTAACACAAATACCGCATCTTATCCCAGAGCTTTAGGATCTGCATCTGAGGAAAGATGGGTTCTTAAAGCTGGCAGGAAGGGAATATGCTCCCAACTGTGCTTAGAATTGTGGATGTCAGTGGTAAACACTGGGGACAGAGGAAAGATTCCGAACCTGGGATGGCTTGATTTCCCTTGGCTGCTGAGGTGGCTGCACACATGGTCTTGTGGTATGTACAGAAGATGTCTGTGGTGTGGGGCAGGGACTTCTCCAATAAAGAGGTTATGGCCTCAAGAGGAAGTATCCATGAGAGATGATGAAAACTCAGAATGCAATAAAGACTAGGTTATTTCTGAGGCAGAATCAATAGAGCTTTGGATTGGCTGCGTGTACAGAGTAAAGATGAGGAAGGAGCCTAGGCTCCCCAGTGGCTGTTCTCTGCTTCTATAAAACTGTTGGATGAAGGTTTTCAAAAGGTATGGACAACAGTTGGACAGAGAGCATTCCAAGTTCATGCCACAACAAGTAATGAAGTGACGGGGCGGAGAATAAAGTAGAAAGCATAGAGGGGAGGGTCTTGGATAGCGTCGTCTTGCAGATCCCATCATGAGAAGAATAAAGACATGCAGTAGGATGTCTTTAAACCCAGCTCCAGCTTGGAAAAAGAAGAGAGAGTCATTACAGCCACCTCATCATTCTGTGTCAGGATGTGTTCGTAAACAGGACAACTCCTTGTTGTTAGTGACACCGTTTGGACTGAATATCTCATCTGCAGCCTCATCTGACCACTTCCTTCCCATTTCACAGGATTTCATAAAGACTCACTGAAAATACTAGAGAACTATACTTTGAGAAATAACTAGAGAAGATACTTTGAGTTGTAGGGAAAGAAAACTGAGAAAAATCCCAGTACACCCAGGTTATTATTGATGACAGCACACTGCTCAAAAGTAGTTCTTTCCAAGGCTCTTGTTTACATTTGTATTTGAGTTTAAAATAGTCGTGACTGCAAGATATCTGGTGGAGTGCTTGTTGTGCAATACGAGGACCCAAGTTTGGTTCCCCAGAACCCGCGTCAAAAGCTCGTCCTGTCGGCAGGCAGCAGGGAGTGGACACAGGCAGATCTCTGGTGCTCGCTGAGCAGTTAGGTGGGCAGAGGCAGCAGGCCACAGCTCCCAGTGTAAAGACCACCTCAAAAATAAATAAACAAAAACAAAAGCAGACGGTTGACCTACACACGAATATACTGGCACTTGTGAACTCATGTGCCTACAGAAAATAAGGAAACCCTGTTAATATTCTGACGATTTACCTCTTTAAAAAAACTTTGCTAATGAGCTGATTAAACTGACCAGGCAGATGTGTATCATGGTTTTGCAGATGATAGGATTTTAATAATAGTAGTTTTGGAGACTTTAAGGCAGAAAGGGTGTGTAGGGTATTGTTTATTCTACAGAATTTGCTTGGTTGGTTTGGTTACAAAAGCATGGTAAGCTGTTTTATATATTGTGAAAATTATTATCATTTAAACCAGTAGAATTTTGTTTTACCCTAGGTCTCTGGTTCTTGGTCCCCCAAGCAGCGTTGGGCATGGATCTCATCATGTGAGAATAGGCCTTAGCTCAAATCCAGGTATTAGTTGGTTACTTCCACAGTCTTTGTGCCTCCGCTGACCTAGCATGTCTTGCAGGTAGCATTTTATCTTTTCTTCCTAGTGGAGGATGTGAGGCCTGGGGAAATCTAGAGCTCTTCCTACTCTCGGCTTAAGGGCGAATGGGAGTAGTCCAAGTTTAGAAGTCCTCACCTTAGTCATGACCTTGGCGTGGAGCTTGGAGAATAGTAGAGAACGGGAAAGATGAGAGCTGGCCTCCAAGGGAGGAAGTGAAGCCCAGTACAGGGGATGTGGTTCCAGTTGTTTTCAAGGAGGCAGTGATGCCCAGGGAAATGTATGGATCTGACCTTGAATTTAAACCCTGGCTTTGCCATTTAATAACTCTGTGACCTTGGACAAATTAACATCTTACAGTTCTTGGCTTTTCTCGTGATGTCCCTATGAGAACTGAATGAGGCTTGTAGACAGTCAATCCAAGCACTGCATCCCTTCAGTCTTGGTTCTTTCCATTTTAGAGAAGCTAAATGATGCCCTGAGGTTACACAATTGCTTACGTGAAAGCAGGCCAGGGATGGAGAGCAAATTCGTGTCGGTCTGAAGTGTGCTCATCTCTTGTTGCTTAGTAGCCTCCTGTGGCTGCCGCTGAGACCTGTGCCCTCCCGGCACATTTCCCGAGAACCCGGTGATAAACCCTGTTAAACATCCGTGAATTAGCTGAAGTCCTTGGTGACAAGGAAGAGAATGCTCTTCAGAAAGATCGGTAGGAACACGAATCCCTTCTGAGCGTGCATGACAGGCTCCAAATCTGCTGGTTACCAGGAGAGAATGTTAAGGCTTTGTCCTAGCTCTTCCTGATAATTGACCTGTGTCACATTTGAAAAGAGTAGCCTGCCATTGTCACAGCGTAGTCACTAACAGCTCTTTGGGCACTACTCTGTGGCCGTTGTTACTTTGGTCTGTTTCCCGGAAGCGTGTCAGATTGTTTTGATGCCCTCACAAGAAGCGCAGGAGGGAGATTTGGATAATCGTGCCATCCCCGACTAATGACTTCCACTGGGGATTTTAAACCTCTGTAAATTAGTACCCAGTTGCAACCAGCAAAAATATATAGTGTGCTCACGCTATGCAAGAAGCGAATTAAGTCACTACAGAACAAAGATGAAGACAGCACGTCTCAGCCCACCAGAAGTTCACAGTTGGGGGAAGCAGATCAGTCACGTAAAAGGGAACCTACAGTACAGATTTTTATGAGGTTCTGTTATCCAATAGCTCAGTAGTACAAGGTGTCAGACCACCCCAAACTTAACAGATTAACACAAAGCTTTTGTGACCCCTTGTTCTCATGCAGGCTAACCCTAGGTCAGCTGATTTACACTGGACCTGGCAGGGCTGGCCCACACTGTAGCTGGGTTCAGGTTTCTGTCACATGACTGGCATGTGCCTCGGATCAGCTAGCTAGTCAATTCATCGTGTTCTTTTCATAATGGACAGAAATGCAAAACAGACAGACACACATGCTGTTGTCCCAAGGCCTGACCACAGGACAGCGGCCCCCGATTGCATCTACCGTGTTCCCTGATGCTCCGACAGCATGTTGGGGGTGACCCTCTACTTCCAAAGGGAGACACAGTTCCAGCACACAGAATAGGACGCTAGGGAGACCTAGGCAGTGGTGTCACCAAAGGTCAGAATGTTGCGTGGCATAATACAGAGATGAATTCATTCTTGTAGGGGAATCTGTTAGCTTCTGGAGAACGTGATATTTGAGCTAACCTTGGATGATCTCAGTAATACAAGCTGGGGCTTTTTTCCAGAAGAGCAAATGCAACAAAGAGAATCCCAAACAATACTTCCATGAGGTGATGGAAGCTCCCCGTAGGGTTTGAGTGAACTGCTAGGGGTGTTTGGAAGATGGAAGCAAAGCTAGGAACGAACACACTAGCAGTTACTTTAGGGCTTGTTGAATGCTTTGAGACTATCCTAGGGCAACATACAGGTATACACGAACATTTATATGTAAGTAGAACCCCAGTGATAAACCAGGCATTGGTGGCACCACCTTTAATCCCAGCACTCAGAGGGCAGAGGCAGGGGCTTTCCTGTGAGTTTGAGGCTAGCCTGATCTACAGAGTGAGTTCAGCATAGCCAGGGCTACACAAAGAAACCCTATCTCAAAAACCTAAAGGATAAAAAATAAATTATTTAAAAACTGGTAAATGAGAGGAAACAGCTTAACAACTTGTGAGTGGCCTTGGCTACACACCAAGGAGGTTAGACACTTGGGTAATATGGAGTCACAAACAACTTCTAGTTTAGAAATGGAGAAGCCATGAAAATGAAATCTTATAGGAGACAGCTGGAAGAGGTGATTAAGAGATAAAAAACTTAGGAGGCAGTGCCAGCTACACAGCCGTTAGCTATTGCAATAGGAAACCACACCACAAAAGACCACAGAAGACAGGGAAAGATGGGAAGAACTGGTCCAGCTGGCAAAGGGGACGGAGAAGAGCCCAAGGGACTGGAGCACTTTGTCAGGTCATAATGCCCTCAGAAGTGTGTGCCCCTGTTTTCAGTTATAGTTAATAAAATGGAGTACTAGAATCAGTAACAAAGCATAAACCTTACCCCAGCCCTGTACACCACTTCACCCCGCTTAGGAACTCTCAGAAATGTGCGCAGGTTTTCCACCGTGTCCTTGGTGCCTGGTAGAAACTTGTACGTGGCAGGATGGATGGATGCGTAGTTAGAGACGTTATTTATGTGATCCGTACTTCACTGTGTGTTAGTGGTGCTATGAGCTTACAGAGCTGAGTAAGTCCTCACCATTAGTCTTAGACCTGTTGTCATGACAACTGCTATAGAGTCATGGGTAGAATGTCATTGAACCGAGACATTCCACACATACATTTCTCCATTAGCGACCTTGTCAGAAAGTCCTTAAATGCTGGGCTATTTTAAGAGCACAGAGCGCCTTTGCGATTCTGAACTGCAATGTGGTAAAGTTTAAGCAGTATTTTAATTGGCCTTTCTTCGTTTTCCCCGAGGCAATAAACCAGGAGCAGAAGCAGCTGATGTGAGGTGAAGAACAAGTGACAAATCTTGCTGGTCACCACTTAGGGACGGTCCCTGCTCTCACAGTCTTCCCTGTAAAATATAATCCACAGCGACTCTGGTACATAAAGGCAAATAGACACTTTAATCCCAGTATGAACAGATTCTTGAGTTGTTGTCTTCAGATTTGGGGAACAAGTATGCAATCGTAAGGATGCAGACAAGTGCCTTAGATTTGGTTATTTTGCTTGAAATTGTTGACTTGTGAGTTAGTGACTCAAAACACTTTATTAGACATCTTTGGGGCATGTTCAGTGTGTGTGTAAACACTTGGCCTATGGGTCTGTACCTGACACCATAGCTTCCTGGTGTGATGCCTATGGTCAGTTTTAGGAGAGGGGACTTTTCTGGATGTTGGCTGCAGTGTGTGTATCTCAGGGAGGGTTTCTTTGGGTGACTCAGGGTTAAGGGGACTGTAACATGAATAATAAAAACTCAGAGACAGATATTGGGGTTCAAGCTGAAGATCAAGCAAAGCAGTCAATCACTAGAGACACTTTTTACCTCTACCAAATCTTCAGACCGAAAGAGGGAGATCCAGGCTCCATGAATCCTCAGACTCCACACTTCACTGAGTTCCTGTCTCTTCCCCTTTATATTCCTCTCTCTGCCCAGCCATATCGCTTCTGTCGCCACCTCCCTAGTGCTGGGATTAAAGATGTGTGACTCCCAAACATGGGGATTAAAGGTGTAAACCTGTTAGCCACGCCTGGATCTGTTTCTGGATTGATCTTGGGTAAGCCAAAGTAACCTTGCACTCACAAAGATTTATCTGCCTCCTGTTTCCCCAGTCCTGGTATTAAAGGTGTGTGCCAACACTGCCTGGCCTGGATGGCTGACTAGTATGGTTGCTTTGCACTCTGATCTTCAGACAAGCTTTATTTATTAAAACACAAGTACTATACCACTATAGGGGCCTAAGGACTGAGGTTCCTTTCATGGAGTTCATTTCTTTGTACGTGACCTGATGCCTTAAAACCTCCTTACAGGAAAGAGGTGAACTTGCGAACAGACTGGGGAGAGACTTTTCCTGGTTGGCATGGGAGAGAATCCTAAAAGGAGCTCCTTGACAGGGAAGTACCCGGGCCTTTGAACTTAGACGCCTGTGGTACTTATAGGTGACATGACTGGGTCTAATGCTCCTCACCCTGGTAGCAATAATGAAGTACAAAAGTGGACGTCGTGGAGGGTCCCTTCCCAGAGACTCCCGGGAGCTTCTGAAACATCCGTGTCCCAGCGCTACCCGAAGTCTCATAGCTAGTAGTCGTATGTGACGCTTCACTGATGGGGATCATGCCATGCAGAAGGCTTTGAAGAGTGGAGGAGTCAGCAACATCTATCCCCACACTTTCCGTGGGCATCAGCCCCTCCATGGCCTCACGTCATCCAAACAGATGGAAAAGTAGTTCTGAAGGTTTGGGAGCATGCAGTCTGACTCACCCAGCACGTTACCCTGTGATTGAACCCTCGCCAAGAATGCTGCCTCCCCACAGCCTTAGCTGAGGTCTGCAGACTGCTCCGTCAGATATCAGCGTCTTGTGCCAGCAGAAGAATAAGATGTTCACTTTCAAGAGCAGGGAAAACATCCACCCCAAACACTCTAGCTGAGGACAAAGGAAAGAATAATACTCATCTTGTGTAGGCCTAAGGCATTGATAGTGATCCTAGGTGGGGTGAAGCAATAAAGTCCTGTTGCCCAGATTTCCCAGAACCCACATGGTGGGAGGAGAGAGCAGGCTCCTGTACGATGTGTGATGACCTCTGCACACATGGCTGGGCACACACACACACACACACACACACACAAACTAAATAAATAAGTGTAGAAACTTTAATGAAATTTTTGCAAATCAGTGATCCTAGATATAGCTGCCTCCCAGAGGGGCGGGGAGTGAATTACCCTTTGCAGCATTGTTGAAATGAGCGGCAGGGCTGCGTCCCGGCACCCGGCCTCCCGCATGGCTAGCTTATGCCCGAAATAATTACACGGAAACTGTATTCTATTAAACACTGCCTGGCCCGGCTAGTTCCAGCTTCTTATTGGCTAGCTCTTACATATTGTTCTAACCCATTTCTAATAATCTGTGTAGCTCCACGAGCTGGCTTACCAGGAAAGATCTTAACCTGCCTCTGTCTGGAGCGGGAGAATCATGGCGACTCCTTGACTAAGCTTCTTTTTCCCAGCATTCTCTTCTGTTTACTCCACCTACCTAATTTTCTGTCCTATGAGGGCTGAGGCAGTTTCTTTATTATTAACCAATGAAAGCAACAGATAAGATACAAGACCCACCTCCATCACAGCATCACCTTGTTTCTGCCCGGCCGCATCAGTACCTGAATACAGAGTACAGTTACTTAGCCTGGGTCTTAATGAGTAATTTAATTTGATGAGTCAGAGTTTTGATTTTTTTTACAGCTGAGAAATATAACCGTGTTCGTTCATCCATTGTTCTTTTTCATCTTAGAAATCACTATTATTGCCAAGGAATCCATTCAGCTGATTAAATCTGACTTCTCTTGGAGACAAATGGGAGAATAGGAAGGCCAGTTATAATAGATTTTTGTTGTTATTGAGCAAAATATTTATATTGAAATGCTACAGTCCAGGCACTGTCCCTTTCTCCCACCACCCATAGACACACACATACACATACACAATAAATAAATGTAGAAACTTCTCCCACCACTTCCCAATAGGCCCAGGATGCTACCCTTTATTCACAGGTAAGGCTTGTTAGTCAAGTGCGAATTTATGGTCAATAGGAAAAATTAAATTTTTGGAGAACTCGGTTTTTGAAGAATACTGCAGATGTGACTACATGAAGCTGGGAAGAGGAAAAAGCCCACACAGTAGGCGACCCAGAGGGTTCACTTCATTAGGGTGGCTGTGAATCAGGTTGGTCCAGGGGTGCCAGGGCTCCTGAGCAGTTGTTAGTGTTACCTGAGAGCCTTAGTCAGCTCATTACTCATGAAAGAATTAAAGTCAGGTCAAACCACAGCAATAAAAACCTCAGTCTAATGGAGACGCACAGTTTGGAGTTTGCCCAGCTGGTTTTTAGTCTTACTTTGGTCCGGTATTTCCTCACTCTGCTCCCTTCCCTGTGTTTATTATATGTTGGAAGTGTGATTTGATTTTTGATTTTGATATTTGATTGATTACCCCTAGAGACTGCATGACTCTCAGAAGAGACTCTGAACTTTGGACTTTTAACAGTGTTGAGACTGATAGACTGAGGGGGGGGCATCTTTTGAGTTTGAACTGAGTGCATTTTTGCAGTATGATTATAGCTACAAGCCCTTGGGATGCAGGGAGTAGAATTTGGTGGTTTGGAAAAAAGTGGCCCCCAAAGTGAGTGTGAGTGTTAGGAGGTGGGGCCTCATTGGAAGAATTGGCTCTGAGGGCTCATGTGTGCAAGTCATACCCATTGAGACGGTTCACTTCCTGTTGCCTTTGGGTTACTAAAGACAGCTGACTTCACTTTCCTTTTAATTAAACAATGTTAGATTTTGGTCATTTGCTTAGGTTAACTTTTTTCAGTGGTTTTTCCTCAGCAACAGTGTGAATTATACTTTTCATGTTCGGAGAATTGACTGACTATAAGATGTTTGGTGGTTTGTTAACTCTCTGACCGTAAACATGTACCTTTCCCATGATCATAAAAATAACTGCAAATTTCCACTCTTAATCACTTGCTTGCTTGATATAAAGAGACTCTGCCTTTAATCTGGGCTGTTTTCATTCTATTACTATGGGAGATTGAAAATATGGCTCTGCCATTAATAATTTTTTCCGTGTCATAAAGCAAAACAAACAAACAAAACAAAACCTCAGTCTATACTAGAATACTCCAAGAGGGACAAACCTCCTGGACACACCCCTCCCACAAAAGCCTGAAAGAGAAAGAAAAGTTTGGATAGTGCAGGATTTGTATTGATTTGCTTATCATTCCTCAAATGTTTGTTGGGTCCTCCATGCTAGCCACTGTTTGGTCTCTAGAGACATGATTGTTGGTGTCCACATCAAGGCAATACAAGTTCAACAAAAGGACTGTCTTCCGGCACATTTCAAATAGGACTTTTTTAAAATGGATTTTTACTGAGCTCTACATTTTTCTCTGCTCCCTTCCCTGCCTCTCCCCTACCCCATTCAACCCTCCCCCCAAGGTCCCCATGCTCCCGATTTACTCAGGATATCTTGTCTTTTTCTACTTCCCATATAGATTGGCACTATGTACATCTCTTAGTGTCCTCATTGTTGTCTACGTTCTCTGGAATTGTGGTTTGTAGGCTGGTTTTCTTTGCTTTATGTTTAAAAACCACCTATGAGTGAGTGCATGTGATAATTGTCTTTCTGTGTCTGAGTTACCTCACTCAAAATAATGTTTTCTAACTCCATCCATTTTCATGCAAGATTGAAGATGTCACTATTTTTTCCTGCTGTGTAGTACTCCATTGTGTAAATGTACCAAATTTTATTTATCAATTCTTTCAGTCGAGGCACATTTAGGTTATTTCCAGGTTCTGGCTATAACAAACAGTGCTGATATGAACATAGTTGAGCACATGTCCTTATGGAACAATTGAGTATCCTTTGGATATATACCCAAAAGTGGTATTACTGGGTCTTGAGGAAGGTTGTTTCCTAATTTTCTGAGAAATCACTACACTGACATCCAAAGGAGCCGTACCAGCTTGCATTCCCACCAGCAATGCAGAAGTGTTTCCTTTACCCCACATCCTTTCCAGCATAAGTTGTCATGAGTGTTTTTGATCTTGGCCATTCTTATAGGTGTAAGATAGAATCCCAGAGTTGTTTCGATTTGCATTTCTCTGATGAATAAGGATGTTGAACATTTCCTTAAGTGTCTTTTAGCCATTTTAGATTCCTCTGTTGAGAGTTCTCTGTTTAGGTCTATACTCCATTTTTTTTTTTTTTATTGGATTATGTGATCTTTTGGTGACCAATTTCTTGAGTTCTTTGTATATTTTGGAGATCAGACTTCTGTCTGATATGGGGTTGGCGAAGATCTTTTTCCATTCTGTAGGCTGTCGTTTTGTCTTGTTGACCATGTCCTTTCCTTTACAGAAGCTTTTCAGTTTCAGAAGTCCCATTTATTAATTGTTTCTCTCAGTGTCTGTGCTGCTGGGGTTATATTTAAGAAGTCGTCTCTTGTGCATTCAAGTGTATTTTCCACTTTCTTTTCTATGAGGTTCAGTGTGGCTGGCTTTATGTTGAGGTCTTTGATCCATTTGGACTTAAGTTTTGTGCGTGGTATTAGATATGTGTAACACCCGGTTTAGTGTGCCACTGTACCAAACGCTAGTCGGGCAAGGCCTGGAGATTGAACACAAGACACAGAGAGACCAGGGTCATTCGGAATTCAGACTTGGGGAAGTCCTTATCTACCTAACTGCAGCAGAAGGACACCCCCCCCCCAGGCAGGTGGGAAATTACCATATCAACAATGGAATGAANGCGCCCCAGGAATAAGGGCTGAATGCTTGGTCATGTTGACCAGAAATTGTCCTCAAGATGCGCCCCAGGAATAAGGGCAGACCAGGGCCCTACAGATATGGGTCTATTTTCATTCTTCTACGTGTTGATATTTAGTTATGCCAGCACCACTTGTTAAATATGCTTTCTTTTTTCCATTTGATATTTTTGCTTCTTTGTCAAAAATCAGGTGTTTGAAGATGTGTGGATTGATATCCGAGTCTTCTGTTCGGTTCCATTGGTCCTCCTGTCTGTTCTTATGCCAGTACCAGGCTGTTTTCAGTACTCTTATCTCTGTAGTAGTTTGAAGTCAGGGTTTGTGATGCCTCCAGAAGTTCTTTTATTGTATAGGATTGTTTTGGCTATCCTGGATTTTTTGCTTTTCCATATGAAGTTGAGTACTGTTCTTTCAAGGTCTGTGAAAAATTTTACTGGGATTTTGATGGGCATTGCGTTGAATCTGAGGATTGCTTTTGGTAAGATTGTCATTTTTACTATGTTAATTCTGCCTACCCAAGAGCATGGGAGATCTTTCTACTTTCTGGTGTCTTCTTCAATTTCCTTCTTCAAAGGTTTAAATTTCTTGTCGTACAAGTATCCACTTGTTTGGTTAGAGTTACTCTGAGATATTTTATGCTATTTGTGGCTATTGTGAAGGGTGTTGATTCTCTGATTTCTTCTCCAGCCCTTTTATCATCTGTGTACAGGAGGGCTACTGATTTTTTTTTTTTTTAGTTAATCTTGTATCCTGCTACATTACTGAAAGTGTCTATGAGTTGTAGAAGCTCCTTGGTAGAATTTTTGGAATCACTTATGTAAACTATCATATCTTCGGCAAACCGTAAGAATTTGACTTCTTCTTTTCCAATTTGTATCCCCTTGATCTCCTTTAGGTGTCTTATTGCTCTAGCTAGGACCTCAAGAACTATTTTGAATAGATATGGAGAGAGTGGACAACCTTGTCTTGTTCCTGATTTCAGTGGAATTGCTGGGAGTTTCTCTCGGTTTAGTTTGATATTGGCTGTTGACTTGCTGTATATTGCTTTTATTATGTTTAGGTATGTTCCTTGTATCCCTGCTCTCTCCAAGACCTTTATCATGAAGGGATGTTGTATTTTGTCAAAAGCTTTTTTGGCATCTAATGAGATAATCATGTGGTTTTTATTTTTCAGCTTGTTTATATGGTGGATTACATTGACAGATTTTCATATATTGAACCATCCCTGCATCTCTGAAATGAAGCTGACTTGATCATGGTGGATGATGGTTCTGATGTGTTCTTGGATTCGATTTGTCAGTATTTTATTTAGTATTCTTGCATCAATGTTCATGATTGAGATTGGTCTGTAATTCTCTTTCTTAGTTATGTCTTTCTGTGGTTTGGGTATCAGGATAATTGTAGCCTTATAAAAAGAGTTTGGCAATGTTCTTCTGTTTCTATTGTGTTGAATAATTTGAGGAGTATTGGTATTAGTTCTCCTTTGAAAGTCTTGTAGAATTCTGAGCTGAAACCATCTGGTCCTGGGCTTTTTTTGGTGGGAGATTTTTGATGACTGTATATTTCTTCAGCAGTTATAGATCTGTTTAATTTGCTTGTATGGTCTTGATTTAATCTTGTTAAGTGATATTTATCCAGAAAGTTGTCCATTTCCTTTAATTTTTCCAATTTTTGTGGAGTACAGGTTTTTGAAATATGACGTGATGATTCTCTGTATTTCCTCCATGTCTGTTGTTATGTCCCTCTTTCATTTCTAATATTGTGAATTTGGATATTCTCTCTCTGCCTTTTGGTTAGTTTGGATAAAGGTTTCAGACATCAGATTTTAAATAGGAGTGCCGATGGCTACAACTGTGACTGCTCTAAGAGTAGACTCGCATCCCACAGCTGCCAGTATTTATATGGGAAAAAAGTCATAGCAATGTTAGTAGACCCTCTTTTTAATCTAAGTTTTTATTAATTATTTTAGAATTTCATTATTTTTTTTATTAATTAATTTAGAATTTCTGTTATCATAGTCACATCCATTGCCCCCCCAGATCAACTTCCAACTTCCAGAACCTGTCTCCTGCCATTTGTTTTTGTTTGTTTGTTTGTTTGTTTTTTTAACAAACAAGAAGAAAAAAAGCACAGCAACTACAATGCCTGACTTGGGCTTCCGAAAGCTCAGTGCTCCCCCAATGGTACTGTACCTTCAGCAAGGCCACACCTATTTCCTCAAGATCACACTTGCTAATTCTCCTCAATAATGATGATAATAAGCATTCATATTTATGAACTGTGAACTATTCTTTTTCAAACCCAACATCATCTCTTCCTCTAAAACCCAAAGCAAGACAGATACTGGGTGAAGCCCGGCAGTCATCGCGCAGCGCCTTTCTCAGCAGGACTGAAGGGGTGACCGCCTTGATGGCAGTGTTGGATTTTTTTTTTTTTTTTTTTTATAGTCCAGGTCTTTTATTTCTTTTTTTACATCAGGCCATGAATTCGTAGGGAATGGGCTCCAGCAGCTCAGGCTCCTTCCCATTAGTCCTCACAAAGTGTGCTTCTCTGGGTGGAGCAGGCTGGCGCTTCAGCTGAACCCAGGTGCCCTTCTCTTTGGCTTCCTTTTTCTTCTGGTCGTTCTCTTTCACCCGCTTCAGGAAGCTGTCTCTGCTCTTTGAGTGCTTGATGTGTTCAATCCGCACATTAATTCTCTTGGCAAGAATCTTGCCCTTAACTTGCTTGTTTACAATGATGCCCACAGCATGCTGGGTGACATTGTAGACTCTTCCGGTTTTGCCATGGTAACATTTATGGGGCATTCCTTTTTGAACAGTGCCCATTCCCTTGATGTCTACAATATCCCCCTTCTTGTAGATTCGCATGTACGTGGCCAAAGGAACAACTCCATGTTTCCTAAAGGGCCTAGAGAACATATAGCGAGTGCCCCTCCTCTTTCCCTTTGTGTTTGTCATTTTGGCGAGTTACTGAAAGATGGCTACCCGGCAGTGTTGGATTTAAGGAGGGAGGGCTCCTGGAGTGCAGCCCTCTCTGACGTAAATCGTAAGCAATGATTTGTAGACATGGCCAGCATCTAAGGCACCATGTGGAATCATAATTTAACAGTACTCTTTGAAGTGTTGCCTGACAGTTGACGTCATCCTGCCTGTTGCTTAACTTCTGTACTATCCATCATCTCCATGTCTGCCCCACAACGGCAGGTGCCTGGTCTAATAAGGTACACCAGTCCCTATCTCAGCCATCTGATCGAAGCTGAAATATGCTTTCACTGATAGTGGTGACTGAGAATGCAGAGGTGGAGTGTTGACGCTGCTGAACTTTGGACTTTCGGAAATGACCAAGTGAACCAAAAAGAGGGTATCCAATAGCAGTAAGAGTGCAGCCCATTTGCTGAGCTGCAGTTACCATCTGTAAAAGGGCAGAATGGATGGAAGTCTGTTTAACAGTGACACCTGAGATGTACTTAAGGGACTTTGATGACACAAAACTCATCAGTCAGCAGCTCAGAAAGCAGATATCTGATATCGTTACTAGAAATGAGTCCCTAGTCACAGTTCGTGTCAACAGGAACTGCCCTTGAGCAGGTGGTACTGAGACCGTTGGACATCTATAAACAAATGACAAGGTCTCCTGGGTGGTAAGTCAACATAGATCGAATACCTAAACGTAAAGATGAAACTACCCAACTCCTAGAGCAAATGGTGGCGTATATTTATTGACCTCAGGCTTGCTAGTAGTTTCTTAAACATAGGGCAGAAGCACAAGTGACCACAGGAAAACAGCCGATAAACTTGACTTTATTGAACCCCAAAACTTTAATACAGTAAAGGGTACAATGAAGAAAATGAAGACAGTCTACAGAATGGGAGAATGTATTTGGAGAAAACATTCAGAATATCCCAAAACTCTAATTAAAAAAGAATCCAGTTTTAAGAAATGAGCCAATGATTTGATTTTCCATTAAAAATAGGCAAGCATAAATTAGACACGTGAGGATGTTCAGCATCGTTAGTCATCAGGACAGTGCAAGTAAGAGCGGCTGTGACGACAAGATGGACAGATGTGGAAAAGGGGGTGGGGAGGGGACAGGAACCCTCCTGAGCATTTCTGGGACTTGTAGCTGCTGTGGAAAGTGTTGGACATTTCTTCTAAAGATTGAACTTATAATCACTCTGTGATCCAGCAATTCTACTTACTTAGGCTCACAGAACAATTTCTATGTATTCATGAAGTAGAAGCAGATCAGATGCCCCGCCCTCTGATAAGTGGGCAAGCACAGTGTGGCAGTCGTGCAGTGGAGCAGTGTTTGTCCATAGTGAAGTGAAGGACTGACACTTGCTTCAGTACAGTGAACCCCAGAAGCACTGTGATAATGGAGGGAATTGATTGCAAGTTCATTTATGTGAAATGTTCAGAATAGGCAAATCTGCAGGCAGCAAATGGACCGTGGTGGCAGAGGCTGGAGGATGGACAGTCTTCCTGGGATGATTGCTGGCAGTGTTGGAAGAGGAGACAGTGGCAGCACCCTATTACCTGTTACAGTATACTCAAACCACTGAACTTTACACTCTGAAAGCATAATTTTTTGTCTATGTAAGTTTTATGTATATTTCAATAAACTTATTAAAAAGAAAACTTAAATCATAATGCTCTCTCTCTCTCTCTCTCTCTCTCTCTCTCTCTCACACACACACACACACACACACACACACATACACGCACACCTTGCACAGAGTCCCCTCCATAGATCCTAGGTCCTGACGTGCCAGCAATACTGGGGTCCATCCTGTGTGTAAGAGAGAGGAAACTAGAGCTTATTCCCCCATGGAAATACAGCATGAGTATTAGACGTTTAGGCTGTTCACACAAAACAAAGTGTAAGGGGCAATTAGCCCATTTTTAAAAGAAAATGACTCACAGACATTTGGTTTATCAAACTTAAGAGGCATTTTATGAAAGAGGGGTCTAAGCCATTCTCTCATCCCGGAACATGACTGTGTAAGGAAGGCTGGTATTGTCTCTGTGCAGAGAACTTTCTAAGCATTGGATCATCCCAAGAAAAGAGGAACCTCCCTGGGAATAGTGGGAGAAAAGCTCCCTGGTGCTGGTGGGAACAGGTGGAAGGTTCCAGTGGCTTCCACTGCTGAATTGATTTCCATAGTGATTGGTGACTTGCTAGTTCTTTGTTCAGTGAGTTCTGTCATTTCATCCTAGGAAACTCTTCTAGCTTCTAACTCCCACTCAGCTCTCCTGCACGCCTCTACCTTCAGGACTCCTGTGTTTCATAACCTTGAGCTTTCCCACAGTAAAATACATCAACATTTTTGTCATTTATTTATTTATTTACTTTTTTCTTTTCAAGACAGGGTTTCTCTGTAGCGTTGAAGCCTGTCCTGGAACTCTTGCAGACCAGGCTGGCCTCAGACTCACAAAGATCCACATTTATCCCAAACGACTATAGCACATGAAGCAAGCCTGTTTGCGTTAGCAGAAGTCATGTAATTTATGTTGTGCTCTAGGGTCTCACTCTTTTAATTTCTCCAGAAAAAAAAAGTAATAAATCTGAGCCTCAATACTTAGTACTATCCCTGGACACATTCCTTACACGGCAGGCAACACTGGTGTCTGCCCCTTAGCCCCAGACCACCACTCCCCTTTTGTAAATAAAATTTCTAATTTTATTTAATTTTATTTTCTTTGGTGATTTCACATATGTGTATAATACATTCTAATTAGTCTTTCTCCCATCCTTTATTTCCTCCTCTCCTTCTTGCCCCCCACCAGCTCCTTTTCTACATCCATGACTTTTAGTTTTGTTTTATGATCTGTTCGTTTATCCAGGGTCATCTGTGTGGCCATTGGATTAGAACTAGCCCTGGAAGGTTGGTGGTGTCACCTGTAGGTACACACTGAAGGCAGTGAACCTCCCCTTCCTGAATCGTTCCACAGGGCGGGGAGGGGCCCCTTGAAGTCTCTTCTATCTGTGCCGGCTGTGACAGGCTCGTTCCTGTGCAAACCCAGGACGGGCATCCACAGTTGCTGACTTTATAGTTACAATGGCTGTCTTGCCTTGCCTTTCCACCACTCTTCATTCTAGAGTAAGAACATGAGCACTCTTCCGCAGCGTTTCCTGAACCTTAGGGTAGTTTTGTAGTTCGATAAGAATGGCTCCCATAGACTCATGGACTTGAGTACTTAGTCGTTAGTGAGTGGCATTTGAGAAGGATTGGAAGATCAGGAGGTATGGCATTGTTGGAGGAAGTGTGTCACTGGGGTGAGCTTTAAGGAACAGTAACTGAGGCTACATCCTGGTACACACACACACACACACACACACACACACACACACCACAGCCTGGCCCGGGCTTTTGCAACCAGAAGCATATGGACTTGCTTCATGTGCTGTAGTTGTTTGGGATATTGCACATGTGGATGAAGAGGAAACAGTAAAGGTGATGACTTCCATCAACCCCTCTTCTCTGTTAGAGCCACTTTTTAATTGATAGTGCCAGACAGCAGCAGTTCTTTATTATGGGAAATAATAAAGGTTTTGTCATATAAAATAATAATGAAGAAACCCATTATAAATGACAAGCCAGGTGTAAAAACCAAATTAGGAAAGGAAACTGTACACATATAGCATATAGATGTTGTACACATACAGCATATGATGATGTACACATACCGCATATAGATGTTGTACATACAGCATATACATGTTTTAGAATATAGCATATACATGTTATACACATATAGCATGTAGATGTACACATACAGCATATAGACATACACATACAGCATATGATGTTGTACACGTACAGCATATAGATGTACACATACAGCGTATAGATGTACACATACAGCATATGATGTTATATACGTACAGCATATAGATGTTGTACACATACAGCGTATGATGATGTACACATACAGCGTTTAGATGTTATATACGTACAGCATATAGATGTTGTACACATACAGCATATAGATGTTGTATCTCCTTTCAGTGGACTGACTGCCTGAAACTGATTCATGTTTATGTTGACAACCACAGACAAATGCTCCACTAAACCCCTCTCTCTAGTGAACGGTGGGGAATCAGAGCCCCATAACTGAACAGAGTGTTGAGTGGATTACCATCAACTTACCCCTAAACACATCTATAGTATTAGTTTTAGTCACTGTTCTGCTACTCTGAGGAGACACCATGACCAAGGCCACTCTTAAAAAAAGAAAGCATTTAACTGGGGACGTGTCACTGGCATCCAGTCTCTGAGAAGTGCTGTCACTGTCTGCTAAGGGCCACTCAGCAGCATGTCTGGAGTCACACACAACCTGACACTTGCCAAGCTTCCTTCCCTAGCACATTGGTGAAAGCATTGTCCTCATGTATGCTGTGTAACAAAATGCCACAAGTTGGTGGCTCACACAGTATGCCCTCACTCTGTTCTCCTAAAGGCTAAAGTCCAAGATCCAGGTGCTGGCAAACTTGGTTCTTGGTGGGTCCTTCTTCTAGCTTGCCGATGGCCATCTCTGCAAGGCTGAGAAAAGACTCTGGTTTTCTTCCTTTTCTGACAATGGCACAATCTACCATATAGGCGGCTATATTCTCATGACCTCACCTCGAACTGCTCAGCTTCTAAACACCACCTCCAGATATTGTTACCTTGGGTGCTAGGGCTAACTGATGAGTCTTGAAGAGGTTAATCCATTCAGTCTATCACAAATAGACCTGGTGTCAAAGTGCCTGGATGCAGTCCAAGCTTCATCACCCACTGCACCCCTCTGGTCTCGGTTTCCTCCTCTAACAATGGGGTTACTACTATTGTGGACCTCATGGGTTCTCAGATTGACCAAGTTCATGAACAGCGGCTCCCCAAGGCTAGAACCTGTGATTGAAACAGAAACTGAAGTATATAAGTCCTCACTCTTCGACTTTCCTGAGGAGAGAGGTTACGCCCTGGGTTTGAGCAGCTTAGCAAAGGCAATTCCAATCACCTTTT